AAAAAAAAACCATGTTCAATCACTATCCTCAAGCAAAAAATATCCCACTGCCAAACTCCAAAAGAATCTGTACACAGACTTACAGTACAATCTGAAAACCAGAGGGTGTACGGACCCATCCCTGTATTTACCAACTGAATAGGAGAGTAAAAAATGGAGTCATCTAGACTTTGGATTCAAACTCAGGCTCTACCACTTGCTAGGCTTGTAGAACTGGACTATTTTGAGCCTTAACTGGTATTTTGTCCAGATTAAAAGAGATGGAGGTAACTTATGTATATCACAGGTGGTACATTTAAAAAATTTTTTTAGAGACATGGCTTTACTATCCTGCCTAGCTGGTCTCAAACTCTTGGGGGACTCAAGCCATCCTCTCACTTCAGCCTCCCAAGTAGCTGGGACTACAGGAACAAACCACCACAACTCACTAAACCAAAACATTTTACAATCAGCCTTTAATGTTGTGTTAGTAATTTTAGAGCATTTAACGGCTGCTTTGCTATATTAACATGGCACAAGAAGCAGGACAAACTATCTTATTTTTTGGAATTTTTGGCTAGGGCCAGGTTTGAACCTGCCACCTCTGGTATATGGGGCTGGCACCCTACTCCTTGAGCCAGAGGCACCACCCAAACCTATCATTCTTAATCCATGTAGCAATATTTGCTTCCTTCATAAATGCTCACAAAATAATTTAAGATGGAGAAATGTAGTCAGATATAAGAAAAGGGTGACAATATATGGTAAAGCAAGTTACAAACAAAACGAAGATGCAGAAGGGGGATAGAAATCTGGAAGACCACCCATGGAGGAAAGACCAGTGAATTACCTGTTAGGATACTGGTGATTTTTAGCTACATTTCCTTAAAAAGGACAATGAAGAGGCTCGGCGCCTGTGGCTCAAGTGGCTAAGGCGCCAGCCATATACACCTAAGGTGGCAGGTTCAAATCTAGCCCGGGCCCGCCAAACAACAATGACGGCTGCAACCAAAAAATAGCCGGGCGTTGTGGCAGGAGCCTGTGGTCCCAGCTACTTGGGAGGCTGAGGCAGGAGACTCACTTGAGCCCAAGGGTTGGAGGTTGCTAGGAGCTGTGATACCAAAAAAAAAAAGCATTCTAATTCATTAGCTGTTCACCAGGAGTAAACTACCACCCCATTTCCTCAGTTCCAACTCACTTCTCCACTTCTACCTCTTTCAGCACCATATTCCCCTTACCCCTGCAAAATTTTGCACTAAGAATAGTAAACACAGCTCCTGTGAGATTATATTCCCTCCTACTCTGGGAAGGCCTCATTAAATTTAGAGTAGCTTGTTTTGTGTTTAAACAAGCGTTGCCCTTGCCCCAATAAAGTCCTGGGCCTCAGATTTGCATTGCATCAGCTAGTGCATTCAGAGGTTTAACCTGTCATTACATCATGCTTTAGAGCAGCCTTTAAACACAGCAAGAGCTGGTAGTGAGGAATTAACCCAACACAGTGGATCATGGATTATCCACTTTCAGCAGCAAATTCTAATCATTTTTCCACCTTAAAAGTGTGTTCAGCCGGGTAGGTTGGCTCATGCCTGTAAGCCTAGTGCTCTGGGAAGATGAGGCGAGTGGATTGCTTGAGCTCAGGAGTTTGAGACCAGCTACAGCAAGACCCATCCCTAGTGAAAGAACTAGCTA